TTCCATACACAAGACTGCCCACAGCAGATATGCTGCATACACAAGACTGTGTACAGCAGATATGTTCCATACACAAGACTGTGCACAGCAGATACGTTGCATACACAAGACTGTGCACAGCAGATACGTTACATACACAAGACTGCGCACAGCAGATACGTTATATACACAAGACTGCACACAGCAGATACGTTACATACACAAGACTGTGCAGAGCAGATACGTTGCATACACAAGACTGCGCACAGGAAATACGTTGCATACACACGACTGTGCAGAGCAGATACGTTACATACACAAGACTGCACACAGCAGATACGTTGCATACACAAGACTGTGCACAGGAAATACGTTGCATACACAAGACTGCACACAGGAAATATGTTGCATACACAAGACTGTGCAGAGCAGATACGTTGCATACACAAGACTGTGCAGAGCAAAAACGTTGCATACACAAGACTGCGCACAGCAGATACGTTGCATACACAAGACTGCGCAGAGCAGATATGTTGCATACACAAGACTGCGCACAGCAGATACGTTGCATACACAAGACTGCGCAGAGCAGATACGTTGCATACACAAGACTGTTCTCCATACCTTGTTCTCCAGGTTTTCCTGGATATCCTGGAACTCCGCTTGTTCCTTGGTCTCCACGTTCTCCTTTAAGTCCTAAAATGGTACCAAGTCTAATTTCTTGCCATCTATATTTCTCATAATATTTCTAACACTCATTTCAAAACCACATCACAGCCCAGTGTTTTCTTTAACCAAAATGGCTTAAAGGTAAAATAGTGTGGGAAAATAATTTACTGAAGATCATTAGAAATACAGTATTTAATCCTAATTGAAAGTAAACCATTTAACAGAGTTCTGGAGGCCGTGCTGATCCCTTCAAGCAGAACTCATCTTACCCCCTCTGCTTTCCCACGGCACTTCAAACCTCTCAGAAAACTGGGGAACCCTGCTGGTATTACATATGTATACGGTTAAGCTTTTCCTATTATAAATTTTCGTAACAGTTGCAATGTGTTCTCTATATGCCTGCAATGCCCAGGAAATAATATCATATAAATTTAAACACAAGATACAGCATTCTGCAATTGACTAAAACTAGTAAATTATCCAGGGGAAAAAATGTCCTTGAGCATCAAGAAAAAGCCAATTTTCATTTTGTGTTTGCATATTTTTATACACTTTTTGGACAAATTATAGAACTGTGAGAATTCGTGCTTTAAAAAAATTGAAAGAGCTGGGTTTTCAGATATTTGCCATATTACCCTACAACAGCGGTTCTCAACCTGTGGGTCGCGACCCCTTTGTAACACTGAAAATACATCCTGCATATCAGATATTTACATTATGATTCATAACAGTAACAAAATTACAGTTATGAAGTAGCAATGAAAATAATTTTATGGTTGGGGGTCACCACAACACGAGGGACTATATTAAAGGCTTGCGGCATTAGGAGGCATTAGGAAGGTTGAGAACCACTGCCATAAAATAAATATTTTATATTGGATCTCACTAAAAGCTCATCCAATCACAGTGCAGTCACACCAGATGGTGTTCCCCTGTAAGTAATTAGAGCAATAGCAATGGTATTAATAATATCTCACTCTTATTGAGCATTTTCTTTGTACCAGGTAGTGCTACAAGATTTTACCATTATTTTATTACTTAAATCAGTCTTTTACTTAATATAACTTTTATTTGATATTAACACAGCCTCTTCTATAACTTAGAGGCCCATATAACAGAGCCCATGTCATCACCTGGAACACTTTTAGTTTATGGAAGTGTACAGCACCTCCCCTTCAAGGAAGCTAGAGCAGAATCGTTGTTACCACCTTATCCCAGAAGGGATCTGAAGTATGAAAAAATTTAAAGTTGGTACAGAGTCAAACTTGACCTCACACAACATGGGTTGGCACCGATTTTCTAAGTATATTAGCTATGATATAACTAACATTTTGTTTCATTGTGGTCAGGGGAAAAAGAAATCCTAAGTCAAATTAAAAAGAATGAGAATAGCCTCCCCCTAATTTCACAGGACTAAAGAATTGTCACCACGTATCACACAGCAGAGATTTCCAAGTGGCTAGCTCCTCCATTTAATAATGTGCATAAAAGACAAAGTGTGGAAATTAACCTACAGGATATCAGAAAAATATCCGGATGCATTCTGAGAGAACCAAACCTCAAAGGAAGTGGAGAACGGATGCTATTCCCAGTCCTTGCCAGTGCTCAAGGATTAGCCTTCACTGTTGGGAGTTACTCTGATTCTCAAGTTCATTTAGGGAGGCTAGTTGCTTATGCTCAATTTACTCAGTCAAGTTGTGGTTACCATGAATTCAGTGATTCTACTCACTTTTTTAACTCTCAATCTTAAGTAAGAGTCCAAGGAAAGTAGAGTAGCCACTTTATAGAGACTGGCTGAATGAATTTTTACTTTTGATCCTTCATCAAAGAATATTCTTAAGAACCTTATTTTATGAAACTTCCCGATCTTTTCTTTCACTTCCAGAAGTCTAGCTTCCAAAATGTCTGAATCACTGGGGAGGGTCATCACTCATCTTTATTTCACAGGGTTTTCTGCTAACGTAATTCAGGCACAAAAGGATTAAATGTTTCCAAGAATGAAAATCACATAACTGACAAGTGTGAAGTAGCTCTCTCTTCCCCGAGCATCTTTTTTGAGTAATTACTTCACTGAAGTTCTACTCTAGAAATGAGTTAGGCAGTTCCTGAGCTGTGTGGAGAGTGATATATAGATGATATTAGGTCTTTTGACATGTGACACTGAGGCTAAAACATTTAACTTGATAGATAGATGGTCTTTCTACAGGCCGCCAGTATTCAGTGAGGAATTTCTAAATGTCCCAGAGAGTCTGTAACCTTTCTTTGGTATCTTTAAGCACTTACAGACCTGGGGATTTCCTGGGGCAGAAAGCCTTCTTTACTGACACACCTCTGGAATTACAGAGTTTCTGAGCTGGAAAAGGTCTGTGAAAGCACTCGTAACTACTAATCTTCTTTCATAGTAATTGATACAAATAAATATTTAGTCCATTTCCCTGAATTTCCAGGTGAAATAAAGTGACTGGCCCCAAATCACTTTTTACCCTTATTTAGTTCAGTTTTAATTAAGTTCTGTTCCCACAATTGACAAATGAAATATTTTAAATTCTCCTAGCATGCGGGCTATCATCCACCTTCAAGAATCCAGTATTTACTTAGCAAATTGCTCTCCTGAAAAATGATGCAGAACGTCTCCTGAATTTTGACACAAAATGAAATGAATTACCTACCTTTCTCTCCTTTATGTCCTTTCGGGCCTGGGGGCCCAACAACTCCTGGTGACCCCGGGATCCCCATATCACCAGCTTCTCCTTTAGGACCTGGAAATTGAATTTTAAACCCATCAGGGTAGACATTTTTTCTTTTGAAATTTATTAGTTCAGAGGGCTCCGGGGGGGGGAAGACAGTCATTTTATTGAGACCAACAACTGTCAGTGTCCTAATGATAAACTCTTGGTGAGAATACACTGTCACAGGGTCCTAAGGGCACTCTTTTTGTCTGATTTGCAATTTTGCACTACCTGAATAGATAAATTGAGCCCATTAGTACTTGTCACTGCTTCATGGCAGTGATCAAATGATTCAGGGAGGCAGCACTACATCAAACAACAGAAAATGATGATCTGACACTTAACCTCATGTGCACCACACTCTCAGATGGAAAGTTAAAACACAACACTTAGCACTTTGGGATTTTCCATTCATGCACTTACTTGTTCATTCCTGAACTATTTCTGAGCCCACGTACAGAAGCACCTAGGAAGGATGGCTGCTGCGAATCCAGCCATGCACATTCCAGCAGTTTCTACCCTCAGGGAGCTAAGAGTTTATGAAAGATGCATGTTTAACAAATAAATGTCCATACAAATCAATGGAAATTGCCACACTCTAGTTAAAGATATGAACAAGGTCCTGCTGTTATGGTAAAGGGACTTAATTTATGAGTCCGAGGAAACTTGCCTGAGAAAATGGCATGGAGCTAAGACCCAAAGAAAAGACTAGGATTTCCCAAAGCAAAAAAAAATGGAAGAAAAAAAAAAGGAGGGGACATTTCAGAAAAAACAAAAGTAGAAAAAATCATGGTGTTTTTAAGAAACTGAAAGAGCACTGCGGATGAAAGTAGCAGTCAAGGATGGGAGCAGGCTGGGAGATAGGCAAAGTTCAGATCACATAGGGCTCATCCCTCAGTCCAGTTCCCTTCCACCCAGGCCACACAGGGAAACTGTGTCTAGGATAATGATCCTTCCTGCACCCCGTCACTGTCCAAGCCATAGGAATTGTTTCTCTTGACCCCTAAAATAATCTGCGGTTGGAATAATTTATGGCCAGGTTCTTTGAAATTTAACTACATACCACATAGATAAGTGCACACAACGAAATTATAATATTTCACCTTAATTTTACGTCAATTATAGTGAAGGCTGATGAAATGGAGAAAATGATATCCACCAGTATGGCTCTTTGAAAGGGTACCACATTTGTTGAGAAGGGGAACTTGCATAAAATGGCTTGCAATGGAGGTTAAGGCTGAACGCAGGTTCAAATAACCAAAGGTGGTAGTTAATCTCCTCTGTCTAAAAAAGAAAGGATTTCAAAGAGAGGAGCAGAGAGAGGATATGCAGAGAAGGTAGAAGCAAACAGGATGGCCAGTTACACGCTACCTTGCGATGTGTCCCACCCTCATGGGATGCCCAGGCTGGCACAGGGAGTTCAAAGCAACTGCATATACAAGGGCAGAGGGGCGGGGAGGCTGCCTCCTGTAGGTGAGATGTACATCTGCGTCCAAGTACCATCAAGACCGTAATACTGAACAGAACAGGAAGGGCTGGGGCTTCCGGGTACACAAAACTGCCTGGACTCCAGATTCTGCACTTACAGGTGGTGTAACCTCTGGTGCACTTAGCAAAAACTCTGTGAAATGCAATTAAATCAGTTGAAATGTGATAACATTTTTAACATCTTTACAAAGATTAGAGATTATATAAAACACCTAGCCACTCTCGACACATCGTAGGTGTCCATTATGATATCTGAATGGATGAGAGGAGCAGAAGATAAAGTTTTCAGTGGAATTTCACTTTCACTGGCTATTAGGTATTCTGAACTTCAAAACATTTTCATTCAGAAACGCCATAAAATTAGACTCATGGCTTTTCAAAGTAGATAAAGCAAAATGTGATATAAGCAATATGTGTGCACCTGTGTTCATATGACCTAGGTCTGAAAAATAATGAAGACAAATTAAAATAATTGGCTTTGAGTAAGTTTATTTTCCTTTTTTGTTTTTGTTCAATGTTTCTCTTATGCTGTTTCTCTAATTTTTAAAAGACAGGGGGAAAGTGTTCTTCAAAAAACTAGTAAAAACAAGAACAAATCTCTCTCTCTCTCTTTCTCTGAATATTAAAACAGAATTTTTTCAAGCTCAGAGCTTTCAACAAGATAGAACCAAACCAGATTCCTACCACAGCTAACTGGGAAAATAAAAAGTAGTTTATTGAGCATTTATTCTATTTCAGGGACTGCACTGAGCACTTGTATGTGTTAGTTCGTTCAATTCTCCTAACAATTCCATGAGGTTACTATCACTTACCCCATTTTTCTGTTTTCGAAACCGAGACTTGGAGAATGAAGCTTCCCTCAGGGAGGATCATGATAAACTCCACATTCTGTGCTCTTAAGCACTCTGCCCTATGCCCTATGGCAGAACCAGTCAGACTAAGACTGTAGTCCCCAACACACCCTCGCCACTGTCCAGGTCCAGCTGGGGCCTGTTAGGAACTGAGCCACACAGCAGGCGGTGAGTGGTGGGCGAGTCAGTGAAGCTTCCTCTGTCTTTACAGCAGCTCCCCATGGCTCACATCACTGTCTGAGCTCTGCCTCCTGGAAGATCCTCCCCCCGCCCCCCATCACATCAGGGAAAAAACTGTCTTTCACGAATCTGGTCCCTGGTGCCAAAAAGGTTGGGGACCATTGGGCTGAGACATATGAGCCCCCCTGCAGGCACAGCTTGAAAATATCTATCACAGTATTTGGAAGAGGGGCTGAACTCTGAGAACAGCCCAACCAAATCCACTACTGCGTAAAACAAAAGCCCTTAGGTCATAGACCTCACTCACAGGCTTAGTAAATAGTCTAGCAATGAGCTGCATCTACTTGATTTCTCCCCCAAGCCGCTTACCAGTCAGGTAGGATACTAGAATTCTGGTAAATATAGTTTCCTCAGTCTTGTTACATTTCAGATAGTGTTGTAGCAACCCTGAAATCTTGGCGCCCAGGCCACTGGTCATCCCCTTTATTCCTTAATCTAATTCTGCATAAATAATGAACACCTTTCCCAAAAGGTCCCTGCAGTGGGACGAAGTGAATGAAAGCTTAGTGAAGATCCCTAATTACTGAGTTTGTAACTTTAAATGCTTCAGGCAAGACACGACAAATATTTTTCTATATGTATATTTAACAGGAATTAGTGAATTTGAAATCGATATTCCGATTTTAAGTTCACATTAAATTCTTTGCTATGTGGCCCAGACAGGCCAACATATATCAGAATAAAACTGCGAGTATATTCATTGTGTATATTTTAAAGATATCTGAATTTCTGAAATATGTAACCATCACGTTCCATGGAGAAAATTGCTGGGCAAGGACACGGTTTGCTGGCAAGAATTTCAATGAGAGGCGAACTGAATCCCGAGCTTTATTCTCCACCTCACAGGTATTTCATTTCTAATCTTAACCACAAATGCACTCAGAAAATCCATCAGTCATCACACATTCTCACCAGGCGACGGAAGATGCATTTTCCCCTTTGGAATCAGTCACTAATGAAAAGATGGTATTGGTTATAAAGCTGTGTCACTAAAGATGTACAGCGCAGAGCTGGGGTTGGTGGTCCCTGACTCTGCTCTCACCCGCGCCCTTCAACAGAACTCTCTGCAAAGACAGCAATCTTCCATCTCTCTGCTGCGCGATTTGGTAGCTCCTGCTACGTGCTGCTCAAACACTTAAAACGTGGCTAGCGTGACCATGGAAGTGAATTTTTTATCTAATTTAATTGTAACATTTGTGGCTACCACCTTAAGTGGCTACCACCGTAGCCATTTGCATTGGTTACAATGTTAACGTGAGCCTGCCACCAACAGCATGACGATGAAAAAAGCCTTGGAGGCAGCTCGAGCCCCCTCCCAGCCCGCCTCTGAGCTCTAAAGATGCGCGGGGAGAATCGCGCCTTCCTGGGTTAACCCATACCTGGCTTTCCAGTCGCTCCAGGTTCTCCTTTCTGCCCTGGGACAGGAGAACAACAATCACAGCAATTCAAAAAGGCACCAGCCGTCTCAATTTCGAAGGGAGAGAGGGTGGCCGTGCCGAGGGCAGAGTCTGGGGCTGCGGGTTTGGGACCCGGCGCTGCCATCCCGGCCCTCTCCGTGAAGGGCGTCGCTTCTCCCTCCGGGCGGGCACCGCTGGACGGCTTCACACCCTTCGGCACTTCCTTTCCCTCAGATTTCTTCGTAAATTTGGTATCTGGTGTGGTCTTTGCCATTGTGTTCATACCAGCAATAGCCAAGATAATTAAAATGGCACAAAGCCAAGAAAATATCCACATATTTGAGGCTAGAAAAAAAGAAATAGGAAAATAAATATACACATATCACGTGAGGTCCAGAGGGAAGTGACACAAACACATAGGGACATAAGAGAAATATGCGTATATAGGAACCATCAAAAGGCACAGTATGCAAGATATAAAATGATATATTTTTGATATATTTTATATGTAAATGTGTGCTTGACTCACAACAGAATATTTTATTTACTTGAGGTATTTGTTATAAAAAAACACTTTGCTTCAATTGTCTTTTCTGGTTGTTTTCTCAGCATTGCATGTCCTAAAATATGATTCTCAATCATCCAAATTATCTTGCCAAATAGCAAACCTGCTCTGTAATAAGTGCAACGTGACTTAATAACTCACATACCCTGTGGAAAATAAATATGTATAATTTCCTGACTGATCTCACTAAGATTTATAGGAATCAAATACATTTGTATTAGAGGCAGATGAAAAATATTGAGCGGAATGGTTTATTCCAGCAAACTCAATTATTTCAAGAAAAAAATACTGGCGAAATAGTCCTTAAATCTACTAGGGATAATGCTCCTGTTGTGAGAATAATTTTTTAAAATCTATTGTAATAAATGGAAAGAGACAATAAAAAACATCATAAATTTAAATATGTGCTACAGCCTTACTCTCTTCACATGCCGTTTAACTCTCCAACTCTTTGCTTTATAACTTGGGGAGTTTTTTTAGAAGCTCTCATTTATTCTTGTGTTATTTTAATGGGGCAAAGTGTGGTTATTCTTAAAAGGCCTTTATCAAGGTCCACAGGGAAATGACAGGAGGTTCCCAGATGAAGTGAAATTCTGATATTTCACAATATTCTATTCTCCATTAATTCCCAGCAGTCCAGTGGCTGCTAACAGATTGCCAAGTTTAGCAAAGCACATTTTCTGATAAAAGGGAAGAGTAATTAAGATAAATAGAGAGTAAAGGGAATGGAAATAAGAACAGTAAAACCATCATTTAATAGAGACCCTACTC